GACATCTTTTTGACAGTAATCGTCTACAATAATTGGGCCTTAAAAAGAATCTTACCGAACTGTACCACAAAGTCTCTTTGCAACTCAGTATAAATGCCAAGATCACCAACAAAAAACGCTCAAAAAATATGCAGCTCACACAATGTGAAACTAAAGCATAAGAAATAGAATTAAAAATTGTTATTGCAACACTTCAATCAATAGCCCACGCAACAATTCTCAGAGGTCATAAATGGTTTCCTGAAGACACATGCACCACATTCGAAGTTGCAAAAGTTCATTCTGGAAAGATCAAATTTCAATTTAAAAAAAACATTTTGTTGAGTCCATGCCATTTGAGCAGTTTTCTCTGATAGCAAACGATCAAACCGCCACCCATAAAAAACATACAACGGTAGAATTAATACGTTTCCAAACATACCCTGAAACAAATTAGCATGTAAAAGTTCAAAACCACTTTTTTGTACACAAAATACAGAAGTAATAGTTGGATACGAGAATTTAACATGAAAAATTATAATCTCTGCTTTACATCCGAATCAAAACGGAGAGGATGAACAAATTTATATCCAAGTCACAAATTACAAAAATAATGGAAACACTAGGCGAAAACTCATACCAGGAAATCGTGACAATACACGTTTAGAAAAATAATCAAAAAAAGTAAACATACTTTGGCGCAATTTACGATGAGATTCATCTTGATATGAAGTGAACTAGAACGAACAAAAATGTTACAATCTCTCGCATTAGCAGTTCGCAAAACAGCCTATGCCGGATAGCTCCTATCAAGTAACCGCTCAAGTTTTTTTGATTACGAAGGAAACATACGTTGGTATTACACATGTCAAAAAAATCTCACCAGTATATGTGTTCGAAGACAAAAGATGAGAATAAAGAAGGTCCGATATCTCATGATAAATAAAGTACAATTTGTAGACACATTATCACGAATAACATATTCGTGTGGTACACTTACTCCATGTGTACCAGATTAACGCTGAAGGTAGTTCAGTTAAATCCGACGAAGATAAATTTCCAGTCATGCCCCGATGAACCTAGCCCAATGACTGATGACCAACTTGAGCATGATCGTGACGATATCAGTAATAACCAAAAACATCCACAACACTAATAATACAATCACAATTCCTCAATTATTCTACTTCGCACTTCACCTCAGAATCATTTACATCATCTATTTGCAATGCATCATCGCGCGCAACGCATCCTTATGAAACGTAAATACCCCATTTACACAACTCAAATCCTAATTTTTCACCCGTCATCATGTCGACTTCTTCGAAGATATCACGCCCGTCAAACTAATACACCAACATTTTTAATTGGAAACCTTCCCTCTCTTCTCCCAATACACAAATAGCAACGCAGAAAACCAGGCACAACGAGCTTAATAAGCCGAAGAAGTCTTTCTTTCTCCCCATTCTTTCCTGGATCTCATTCTACTGTTTTACTAACCCACTGGATGCTCTACTAGGGAAAACCGCCGATAGTGATGATTTTTGTGACACAATCATTCATCAACTTACCGCTGCACTACACTTAAATCATTTTAACAACATTGGGATGTCGCAAACATTTAGCAAAACGCAAAGGCATACAAAAAAAATTTCAAAAAGTCGATCACTGATGATTTTTGTGACACAATCATTCATCAACTTACCGCTGCACTACACTTAAATCATTTTAACAACATTGGGATGTCACAAACATTTAGCAAAACGCAAAGGCATACGAAAAAAATTTCACAATTAATTTCCTTTTACCTATTAATTTCCTTGTAACAATTAATTTCCTTGTACTTAAAGAACGTGAATTAAGCTCAAAACTAAACTAACACGTGCGCTTACATATTACAGAATTTCACAAAAAATTCACAAGTTTGAACTCAATCAAAAATTTATAATCTAATCCAAAACAATAAACACAAAATATCCGCCAAACCTGAAGAATCTAACTTCATCCGCGCATTCGAACTTCTTTGGCTAATTTCAAGCACTAAAAAAGTCATCCAAGTGCTTGCGAAACCTTTAATTACCTCACCTACAAAAAATTAACTTTTTTAATGTCTTTTTTTGGACTCAGACCCGCAGAAAGGATATAAGTTTCTAAATATTACTAACAATTGTTCAGTATTCACTCAGATTTTCAATATTTGTGCTTCATCATTTTTCTTTTGGATTTCACCAGTAATTTCTCAGAAATTAAAAAGATTAAAAGGAAATTAAATTGGTTTAAAGCAGTAATTTTATAAAGCTGCTGTAATTTACTCATACGAAGTACTAAATTAATCATGAATAATACACAAGGTTAACTATTTTTTTTATGTATGCTATAATTCGTAAATTTTTGATTTATTGGACTTACGCGCCCACCGTCACGCACTCTTTCCAAACAACCCAAAGTGACTCGCCACTGTATAATTGTTTCAAAAATGAATTTCTAGTTTCACAATTTACCTGATAAGAACTCTAACTTGCTTATACAGGTTTTAAACTTTTGTTTGATCCGGTTGGAAGGAATTGGAGTTAAGACTAATCTAACCAACGCAGCTTACTAACAACCAATTACAAGTACAGGAAAGTCTCGCATTACGCAAACCAGATTAAAACCAATTTTATTAGGACCACATAAAATGTAAAAAAAAAAGAAAAAAAACACAAATCAGAAATTATTTGTTTTTCAGAAAAAGACACAACCATTGAACAAAAGGGAAAACACCCAAACAAAAGAAAAAATAAAAAATTAAAACAAAAAAAGAGTCTCATCTCAAAATGACAAAAAGTAAACTCTCCTCTAGCCTCACCCACCAGAACAGCTTCACTCGAAGTACATGTGCTCACCATTTGAAAAGTCCCTGACCCTAAATTTTTTGTTAAAAATAGCTCTAGTGTGAGCAACTCTTCGAAATAATCAAACTAAAAAAGTTTTGCGAAAACAATTAACAAAGACTATAGTTAAAGTGACAAGATCCCTCAACTGAACTACAGTATACGCAAGTTTTTCTCTTCACAAGCAACTGTTTTTCTTCTCTCCCTACAAAGACAACTACTCCACAAAACGAGCAATACTGTTTCTCTTCTCTTTTCGCTCTTTCACTCCTTCAAAAAAGTCTACTCAAAGAAAAAACCTCCATCCATCCTTCACGAGAACAAACTAAAAACTTTCTAAATCCGGGAAGGGTGGAACAAGTCAAAAAAAAATTTTATTATATCCAATTACATACCTGGTAATTACCTCTGTAAAATACATAAGACTAAGCACTCATGATTCATGACTAAGACTTACAACAAATTGTAAGGCTGAAACTACTTCATAGTTTCAGCCGGAGCAGAATAAATTTAACTTGGCAAAAAGTTGCTCTTTCTTGACTCTAAATCTTGCAACAATACCAGTGTATACTAGATCAATTGAGACTAGAAAAAGTTAGAGTAAGATTAAGATCGGTATTAGACTACCCGCACCAAAAGTTTCATTGGTAAAAATCGATTATTATGGTTTTTCATTGACTATATTGTTGTCTATATAATCGACTATCATGGCATATTTAGACCAAGTAATCAATTTTGAATCCATTATAATCGATTATTTTTGAAAAAAAACACCATTATAATCCATTATAATCGATTAAAATCTATTTTTGCTTTCATCATAATGGATTATTTTTTTAATCATACAATCGATGAAAATTGATTAAATTTTGTAAAAAATGACTCTAAACTTTGGAAACTTTTGAAAAACTCGAACGAACACGTTAATACAAGGGCGCCAATATGTAGCAATTTTCCAAAAGTTGCCCAAAAAAGCATTTATGACCAGTTCCTCACGGACCCCCCAACGTAACACCCACTTCACGACGTACCCCCATCAAATACCCCTATCCTTCATGTACCCCCAAACCAAGACGTCCACCCCAGGGGAGAGGTAACTGTAGTACGGGTAAGCGTGGGGAGTTGGTAGTTGGTGTGAGATCTATTTTTTTGTAATTTTTCATACACTCAAGGGAAAAAAATTGAAAAAATGAAATTAAGTGAGAGAAATAACTAACTTAAGGTTAACAAAATTACGAAAAAATCTATTCAATAAATAGATTGTAATCCATTATAATCGATTAAAATTGTTTGTTTTTCTTTTGATATATATATTTTTTGAAAATATGCAAATTGACCATTAACAGTGAGAAATAAATTCTTCTTCTTCTAAAATAATCGATTATAATAGATTCTAATCGATTATATGAGGATTTTATTGCTTAGAAAATTATCATCATTATAATCCATTTTCAATCGATTTATCTGTACCTTATCCGAAATTACTCAATGAGAAAGCACGCCGAACTTAAACTCACTTGTCGTGAATAAAAAAATTAAAAGAATACCAAAAAACTAATTCATTCAATTTTTTGGTTCTTTTCTTCTAGCTCAATACTCACTGGCTGGCCTTTTGCGTGTGGTTAAGTATGCATGGCTTTGACAATAGTAGTAGCCTAAATAAGTTTACATAATTACACATCAAGATTACTGCAATTGTATTTACATATCATTGTAAGAAAATGATGTTCGTCTTCCTCACAATAATGTGATGGGTCGTTGAGTGAACTGAATTCTGAGGTGTGTTGCCCTTTTTGTGTGGTGATTTGTTATTGATTCGTTTTATCTTCTAATACATTGGAAAGATTTTCCTACCTCATTTTGTCTCTTCCTCCTTTTGAACACTGATTTTTTTGGCAGTTTTATGCCTCCAATAGCTCAGAGTTAACTATTTCCGGCTGTCAGGTCAGCATATCTTCTATTGATTTCACTAAGTTCGGTTAAAAATGAGCAAAACTGTTTTGATGCGTTTATTAAGCACGCATCAAAACATTTTCTCTTCTTACACTGATTTTTCTTTTCCTTGCTGAGCAGGCATGGTTCAATCTCGTTCACAGGTCAAGGTTATAAATATATATCAATGGCTACCTGAAGGCTCTTTTCACTCACTTTTCCCAACTGCAGTAGATGTCGTCTTGTTGGGAGCAGAGGTGTTGCATGCAGCTCCAGAGGTCGGCCTCTAAACACACTAATCGTTAGTGTCCGATAACTACGCTCCCTTTGTCTACTAAAATGCGTGTAATACTTCTAGCTTCTAGGAATAGAATTGCATTATGCTAGGGAGAGTTTATGATTGACATACATAAAAAAAGTTACAGTTCCAAAAATGAATTTTCTCTTGCTCGATGCAGAGCAGAAACAAAAATGCAGCATTGTTACAACCAAAGCGCTTTCTTGATGTTTTTTTTCGCATAAGTAAGTGTGTAAAAAAGGGCCTTTCAAATATTTTCTGCGTGTGACCGAGAAACTATCGCCAGATCTTCGTGAATTTAAAGTTTTTTTACTGCAATCATGTTTTATGGCAGGTATAGCAGTGTGTTATCGGGGTAGTTGTCTCGCAATCAAATTGTCCGTCAGACAGGAACTCAAACTGTATAATTTTTCTTCTGGCTAAATGAAACGTAACATTGTTCCGACTTTCGATACGAAAAAAAAACGGAATATTTGTTGCTCGGGGTGGGTTTTTTTTTCTTCAGACAAATTTCGGCTTTTTAACTAGCCATTTTTGACGGAATTTTTTTTTCTATCATTCGAAGGCCATTGTTGCCCTGAGCTTAAATTTGGAAAGATATTTTACCTGTGATAATTTTGCGTAAAGTTATGAGGGTTTAAAGATTGCCATTTTGGCCATTTTGACCAATTTGGCACAATTAACGCGCGATATAATTCGCGCTATTAACGCGTAAGCGGAGATTTAATCCGTCTTATAAATCGTTCCAAATTGGTTGAACGAAGCTTATTTGCCATAATTGATTTGTTACAAGGAACGAAATCTATCTTTTTGTACTTTATATGGCGTGTGGGGAAATGATTTTCATAAACAATTTCGAACTTCAAAAAAATTTCAATTTATTTTATTTCGATTAATTTTTTATGTTATCACTGCTGCTGCATAAACCTTAAAAGGCAGTCGGAACATTCAGGGCTTCGCCCTGATACGAGCAGTCTTGTTGTTTCGACTTTCGATACGAAAGTAACGGAATGCTTGTGCTCGGGTGGGTTTTTTTTTTCTTCAGACAAATTCGACTCTTTAACTAGCCATTTTTGACGGATTTTTTTTATGTCATTCAAAAAGTATTGTTGTCCTGAGCTTAAATTTGAAAAGATATTTCACCTGTGATCATTTTTCGTAAAGTTTTGGGGGTTTAAACACTGTCATTTTGGCCAATTTGGGACAATTAACGCGCGATGAATTTCGCGCTATTAACGCGTAAGCGAGATTTAATCCGTCTTAGAAATCCTTCCAAATTGGTTCAAGGATGCGTTTATGCCATAATTGATTTGTAATAGGCGCAAAATCTATCAGTTTGTACTTAATATGACGTGTGGGCGGATGTTTTTACATAAAATCTCAAATTTTTTCAAAAATTTATTTTTTTATTTTTTCTATTACATTGAAAATTTTCATGTTATTAGTGCTCCATAGACCTTAAAAGGCAGTCGGAACATTCCGGGCTTTGTCCTGATACGAGCAGTCTTGTTCTGTTTTCATGTCTATAGTGATGAATTAGTTTGTTGTAATTAGTTTGAATGTAAAATTGCATTGTATCATACACATTGGATGAATTTGTAATGTTTTCATCTGTGCCGTTTTTACAGAATTTCCGCAATTTATGGAGTGAGTGTTTCAGACTGAACTTAGTCATCTTAAAATCTGTCGGCTCAGTTTTTCCTCAAACTCCCAGTATAAGAAGAAGAAAGTAATTCATCAAAGTTATTGAAGTATTATTCTCAGAAATTTTTTCCACTTGAAATACAGGCATTTTTTTCATAGTTTTGACAGTTTATTAGCACGTGTTGTTATAAGCACGTGTTTATTAGCACCTAGTTTGAAGCAAGATTTCAGCGAATAGAGCGGTTTTTTAGACGATTACGCTGAAAATTTTGCTTCAAAATGAGCGGTTTTTGAACGGTTTATCTAAAAAAAACGCTCAAAAACCGCGCAAGATTTGAACGGTTTTGAGCTGTATATGTAAAACAAAGCCGATCAAAAGCGTTCAAAAGTTGCGCGGTTTTTGAGCTGTTTTTTTTTTAGATAAACCGCTCATTTTGAAGCAAGTTTTTGAGTGTAATTGTCTATAAAAACCGCTCAAACCACTCAAGTCTTGCTTCAAATTAGGTGAAAAAATCTCGACTCGGGATAGAATGCAATATAATACAAATCCTTGATCCTTTATCTAACAATATTTGAGAATTGCCGCCCCTATAAATAGAAGCAATAAATTAACACTAGAGCTTCATATTGAGAATACTAATTTTGCTGCAATCTTAATCTACTGAACATTTAACATCATTAATTGAAAGAGGTGTCATCCCGAAGGATAACGGGAAACCTCTGAACGAAGTTATATCCGATATATCTAACTACCTTGGAATTATGTTTTGTATCAGTATTCTTGGTAGAGAGAAAAGACTTTCAGTAGTAGACTTTATGACATCTGCCATCCGACCGGGTTGGCATGAACCACTATGAAGTGTTTATATTTATTTATACTATAAATATGTGACCAATTATCCTACTAAAAACTAGATTGACGGCCTTGACCGCCGATAGGCAAAACCTCAAAGTTGAACGTCATGGTTCAGAAATAAAGGATTCAGATTTATGTTCAGTTTTTTCTCTTAACTAGCGTATCTTATAGATACTTAGCCAATCCATTCGGATTCTATAAAGAGCTCATGAATCACGGTATGATATGGCAAAGCCAGTAGGATACAGAAACCCGCTGAGTATTCCACCTTTTTGGCAGGTCAAAGTGGGCAGCAATGATGGAGATGGCTGTTTTTGCCAAAAATGGAATAGAGATGAGGAGTTTGTTACAAACGAAATCTCCCGTGAAGAACCAGCAAAATCGACCAGCGACGTTGAGATCACTGGGGAAACAGAAGCACAAAAACGAAATAGAGATATCCGAAAATAAGAAAAACGAGTTACTTGGGAAAATAACGTAATAAAAAGCAGAGAAAAAGGCGTACTTCGTAAAAATATACAATGTGATGATACAGACACCGAAATCAGAAGCTACCTTATGCTGTGTCCTGGCAGCCAAACAAGAAAACGAAGAGGCAGTCAACAAGAAAACGAAGAGGAATATTCATTCACCGCAGAAGGAAATAACGACCCAGTGACTTACGCAGAATTCATGTCGACAAAGGGTTGGGAAAACGTTTCTCGGGACAACTTACCGTGTTGGCAATTTCAGAAGCATTTGAAACTGAAATCTGAAACGCAGTAAATATAGAGGAAGAAGATCTCAATAGACATATAGTAAAATTAAAAACGCACCCCGAAGATCTCTTCGCCATCGCAGGTTCTGGAAGCCCCATGTCTTTTCTCAAGGACAAAACGGCCGAAAGACTGCGAAAAAAATGACCACTCCGCAATACTTATATTAGTCCCACCGAGGGATGCAGCCCGAAACCTCGACTGTTATAATGAGAAATAAATGGTTCTAAAAGCGAGACTTATCAATGCGGTGGAATCCGGAGGATGGATAATTTAATCGGCTCCGTAGACAATCGAAAGGCAAATATTGTGGGCGAAATATTCTACCACAGTTAGTTATCAAACTTGTACATGACGAGTTAAAACACAACAGCATTCTCAATATTCACGAGAAAGAAGAAAGTTCCGACAAGGAACTAAAAATCTGGGTTAAAGAAAACATTAGGGATTTTGTGTGAGAATCAGGAAATAAAAAATCACTTAATGCGAACTCAATTTCTACAAAAATCACTCCGATTCAGCAAAAAGGCCAAAGGATCCCGATTTATCTACAAAAAAGAGAGGAAATTGAATTAATAAGTTAAAAGATCATAAATGCATCAAGAAACTGAACAAGTTTTCTGATAAATAATTCATCAGCCCGATCATTATAACGATAAAAAGGACCAAACTGTCAAACTTGCACTAGACACAGAAAAAATCTGTAAAATCATACACAAAAACAAATACCAAATGGTCAATTTTGAACTCTCATTAGACAAAATTGCACAAATCAGCAAGGCAGATGACTCGCAACAAACCATCTTCACAACTCTCGATCTACGTTACGCATAGTCACAATTTCCACAGGATAAAGAAACAAAAGACCGGAGCAATTTCAGTCTGATAGGGGAGGAGGGGGATGAGGCAACAAGATTATATCATTTTCAACGGGATTCTATGGCCTCACGGACGGACATGCCGGCAAAATTCCAAAAGCCATAAATCTGACACACTAAGAAAGTGTGAAAACACATTTGCCTATCTTGATGACATACTGATTGTAACAAAAAGGTCACAAAGTTACACACAAAGAACTCCTATATAAAGTACCAAAGAATCTCAGCGATTGAGAACTTAGCAATTTCACTGGAAAAATGCAATTTCATATGATAACAAGTCGAGTGTTTTATCTACTAAATAAGCCATAAAGGTACACTACCACTAAAACAAAAAACAGAGGCAATCCTCAAGCTCTCACCGCCAAAATAGGTTTAAAACTAAAACGTTTCATGTGGTCAATACACGACTTCACTAGATATATTCCAAACCTCGCAGAAACGGTATCGACACTGAAGCCACTGCTGAAAAAATTCCGACAAACATAAAACAGACTGGAGGCCAGAACAGAACACACATCCGCATTTCAAAATATTTTAAAACTGATATCTGAAATTACTGAAAACAAACACTTCAACCAACATTTAGATACTCGGGTACTATGCGATGCCCCTAGATTTGAGTTAGCGGCTGCGTTAGAGCAAAAAACAGACACAGTTTGGGTATCAAAAGCATATGCTTCAAGATTTCTAAATTTCCTAGAGGAGAAGTATTCGGTAAATGAATTAGAACTGTTAGGTTTTGTGTAGGCAATCGAACAATTTGAAACTATCTGTACGGAAAAAACTTCAGAGTAATTACAAATCACCAAGCTTTTATCAGCGCGTTCAACGCCAGCGAGTGATAATAGACTA